AAGGCACAGAGAAGTCTAGGATGGCAAGAAAGAGAGGGTGGCCCTAGACAGCACTGATGATATTAGAAAGGTAAGGAGCAGTCAGATCTTAGGAGGATCTCATAAGCTATATTGGAGAATGTAGGTTTTATTGTGGGAGTGATGGAAAGTGGAGGAGGATTGATTTAATTATTATCATTATTTTTTATTGGTAGAGGTTGCATGTGCTCATGTGAGAGAGAGAAAGCATTCCCATGGGATGCGATCACACCACAATCGTCCCTCCTTCATTTTGTCAGGACCTTGGGTATTCATGCACATGCACCCAGCATGTTTACAGTAGCCAGATGACAGTAGTTTGTTCAGCAACAGGTGGCACTGCATGAGCTCTACGATCAAATCTTAGAGGGTGCATACACTTGCCTGAGAGAGACAGAGAGTGAGAGGGAAAACAAGAAATCACCCTTCAGGGGAATGGTCATACTGCATTCCCTTCTCCTCCATTATCCTCTTGGGATTTGGGACATGTGTACACATGTGCCTGGCATGATTTTCAAGCTACCAGGTCCGGGACTTGAACCATAGTTGGCCATGTGTGAGTCCAGCAACTTAACCATCATGCCACCTGCTGGCCCCCATCCTTTTTTATTTTTTTAATGCTAGAGGGCACACATGTATGCATGAGAGAAAAACTCTCTCACATAAACAGTTTTTTTCTTACAATTCTCCATCTGGTCAGGATCCTGGACACACACAGGCATCTGGCATGTTTTCAAGCCCGTGGGACCAGATTTTAAACTTTGGTTGGCCATGTGGATTCTGGCTTCCTGTACGTAGCCAGGAAGTGGCTATGCTACAGGCTAACCTGATGTTGAGGAGGCTTTCAGAGGGTGATAATATCATCATTCTTATTCAGTTTTAATAACTTTATACTTCCTTCTCTATCAAGGCCTAAACTCACTTTGGTGTTTGGGGTCCTCCACAGTATGGTCTTGTTCTTCTACTTGATGTGTTTTTTAAGTCTCTCAAAGCTGAATCATTCCCTAAGTTTGGGCTTGTCTCCTCCTAACTTAAAAAATATATTTATTTCCTTTTCTTCATGACAGAGCACATGTGTGTGCATGGGAGAGAGGGAGAGAGACAGAGAGAGGAGCACCCTCCATAGGGTCTGTTCACACTGAGAACCCCTTCCTCTTATCCTCTCACCTATTGGATCTTGGGTACTTGCATGTGTGCCCAGTGTGTGTTTCAGGCTGACAGAACCAGGAATTAGAACCATGGTCACCATGCGGGATCCAGCTTCCCTTGAGCAGGACACACTACTGCACCACAGAGCCAACCTTCCTCCTGACATTTTGAGTGGGTCTTACCAACTAGATCAGAATTTCCTCAAGGGACTATGTCTTATGTCTCTTTTGTATCCTTCAGAGTGCTAAGCTAATGGTTCTAGAATTGCATAGAGTACAGAAGAAAGGAAATACCCTCATGGTATCATGTTTCCATATATACTTTAATATCATGTTTCCATATATACTTTAAGTCTATATCAAGGGTATGAAAAAAATCTCCAAAGTAAATTCTAGTTACCACTTACATCAAGAAAAAAATGAGCAAAGTGCATTTTTGGATTTTGTACATACATTTTTTTAGAGTTTTTTTTGCCTTAGGGCATGTTGCTCGCCATACAGGGAGAGAGACAGCGAGTGAAAGGGAAAATGAGAAGTCACCTCCCAGGGAAGTTGACCACACCACAGTTCTTTCTCCTCCATTCTCCTGAGATCTTGGGTATGTACACACACATACCTGGCATGAGTTTCAGGCCACCAGGTCCGGGACTCAAACCATGATTGGTCATGTGGGAGCCCAGTGACATAACCACTGCTCCATCTGCTGGCCTGACACATTGTTTACTCTTCTTTTATAATTTCTTGTTGACATTTGATTGTACATCTTTATGGTGCACAATATAGTTTATCAAAGCATGCATGTGGTATGTGATAATCACATCAAGGATACCTGATGTTAACCTCAAAATATAATGATAACATGTAAAGAGATGCCATTTAAGAATTTGTAAGCAGACAGAGCTTCTTAAAGAACTCTCATAGGGTGCATACACTTGCCTGAGAGAGACAGAGAGTGAGAGGGAAAACAAGAAATCACCCTTCAGGGGAATGGTCATACTGCATTCCCTTCTCCTCCATTATCCTCTTGGGATTTGGGACATGTGTACACATGTGCCTGGCATGATTTTCAAGCTACCAGGTCCGGGACTTGAACCATAGTTGGCCATGTGTGAGTCCAGCAACTTAACCATCATGCCACCTGCTGGCCCCCATCCTTTTTTATTTTTTTAATGCTAGAGGGCACACATGTATGCATGAGAGAAAAACTCTCTCACATAAACAGTTTTTTTCTTACAATTCTCCATCTGGTCAGGATCCTGGACACACACAGGCATCTGGCATGTTTTCAAGCCCGTGGGACCAGATTTTAAACTTTGGTTGGCCATGTGGATTCTGGCTTCCTGTACGTAGCCAGGAAGTGACTATGCTACAGGCTAACCTGATGTTGAGGAGGCTTTCAGAGGGTGATAATATCATCATTCTTATTCAGTTTTAATAACTTTATACTTCCTTCTCTATCAAGGCCTAAACTCACTTTGGTGTTTGGGGTCCTCCACAGTATGGTCTTGTTCTTCTACTTGATGTGTTTTTTAAGTCTCTCAAAGCTGAATCATTCCCTAAGTTTGGGCTTGTCTCCTCCTAACTTAAAAAATATATTTATTTCCTTTTCTTCATGACAGAGCACATGTGTGTGCATGGGAGAGAGGGAGAGAGACAGAGAGAGGAGCACCCTCCATAGGGTCTGTTCACACTGAGAACCCCTTCCTCTTATCCTCTCACCTATTGGATCTTGGGTACTTGCATGTGTGCCCAGTGTGTGTTTCAGGCTGACAGAACCAGGAATTAGAACCATGGTCACCATGCGGGATCCAGCTTCCCTTGAGCAGGACACACTACTGCACCACAGAGCCAACCTTCCTCCTGACATTTTGAGTGGGTCTTACCAACTAGATCAGAATTTCCTCAAGGGACTATGTCTTATGTCTCTTTTGTATCCTTCAGAGTGCTAAGCTAATGGTTCTAGAATTGCATAGAGTACAGAAGAAAGGAAATACCCTCATGGTATCATGTTTCCATATATACTTTAATATCATGTTTCCATATATACTTTAAGTCTATATCAAGGGTATGAAAAAAATCTCCAAAGTAAATTCTAGTTACCACTTACATCAAGAAAAAAATGAGAAAAGTGCATTTTTGGATTTTGTACATACATTTTTTTAGAGTTTTTTTTGCCTTAGGGCATGTTGCTCGCCATACAGGGAGAGAGACAGCGAGTGAAAGGGAAAATGAGAAGTCACCTCCCAGGGAAGTTGACCACACCACAGTTCTTTCTCCTCCATTCTCCTGAGATCTTGGGTATGTACACACACATACCTGGCATGAGTTTCAGGCCACCAGGTCCGGGACTCAAACCATGATTGGTCATGTGGGAGCCCAGTGACATAACCACTGCTCCATCTGCTGGCCTGACACATTGTTTACTCTTCTTTTATAATTTCTTGTTGACATTTGATTGTACATCTTTATGGTGCACAATATAGTTTATCAAAGCATGCATGTGGTATGTGATAATCACATCAAGGATACCTGATGTTAACCTCAAAATATAATGATAACATGTAAAGAGATGCCATTTAAGAATTTGTAAGCAGACAGAGCTTCTTAAAGAACTGTTCTGGAAAACAGATGTCAAAAACACACTTCATGGATATGCAAGACTTATTACCTGTTTTTATGTCGTTTCACTCGCAAGGAAGTGGTCTTTAATTAAGTATTAGCATTGAGAAGACAGATATATATATAAAAGTGCAGTTATTAATTGCTGCTTATGCTGTCTTACTTAGGTAAATGTTACTGAGAGTGATTTTTTAAAATGACAACTTTAAAATGAGAATATCCACTTATGTAAAAAAAATGCTGAAGAGTTTCACACTTAATCACATTTATTGATTCACACTTTTTAAGAATATTCACGCGTTCATCCAAAGCTCTTCTTTTTGGTTACATTTCCTTTTGATGGTTGAATTCATTCCTGGCATCACAGCAGAGGTACAGGACTTCATGGC